GATGCCTCCATGTCCTTTGAGGATTTTGGAATAGTTATGTCGGGAAGATCAGCCATTTCTCGTGGATCTACTGCATGTGCCTTCTCTTCAGGCTTGGTAATTTTGCTTGTTTGTGTCGATTCGCTTAATTCTCGACACGGCTTTCTGACATTCGCTACTGCAGTAGCATAGCATATACCCTCTTCTTCCACTGCGCCCTTTGTACAGTACTCGTGATTGACACCTGTCGCTGGCCAGATGGTTTCATTCGAGTTATGTTCCATTGCCAATGTCTTATGTGATTCATCCATGGTGTCTTCCATAGATGGTATCTAATACATGTTGGAGTTTGTGCTCCATGTGTTGAGACTATTGCTTATCCTCTTTACTGAGGTTTCAATTGGTTGTGTCGTGTCACCCAATTCGTGGCACAGTTTCATAATCAACACTGTGGCCGTGGTGAAGCAAATGCACTCTTCCATCATGGAGTTCTTTGTGAAGTATTCGTGTGTACGCCTGACAATGGCCAGCTGCTTGTTATGAATTTGTGTTCTGCCTTGAAGGTGTTGTGTATTTCATTGATTGTTTGTTTTACTGCTAATGTTTCTGATAGGCTTCTGATTGCCTTGGCTGCATCAAGTCTGTCAGTTAGTGCTTGCATCGTCTCGATTCGGGCCCATTGTGATTGGGCCGTCGGATGATGCCGAGAAGAGTTGTAGCGGCCTGAGTGGGGGCCGCCTCTGTGACGTCACTGATGCGGGGCAGTGACGATGCCGTTGCCGCTAGCGAGATGCACGCTGTAGCGGTCTAGTAGAGGGAGGATATCCGTGTCACGTCACTGCTTGACGGGTGGGAGTATTCCTCGTACCGTATACCACTTATTAATATTGATGCTTACTTGGTTGATAGGAGCCGTGTATTAGTGATCCGTAAGAACTTGTGTAATAGCGTAGCTTACGTGTGTGGAGTCGATCTCAGTTGCATTGATGGTACGTAAGTGCGTGTGTAATAGCGTGGCTTACGTGTGTTGAGGTAGATCCGCGTAGTAGCGTTGGTAGGCCATGAGCTTGGCTTCCGTTGACTGTAGTCGATCTCTGCAGCGTTGGTGGGCCTAGTGAGTTTGGCTTCCGTTGGGCTGGAGTCGTTCTGTGCAGTGTTGGGTGGCCGAGACTAGCTTGGCTTACATTGAGCTGGGTTCGATCTGTAGGACGGCGATCCGATCTTGATGAATGCTTGAGTAGTAAGAGAGCGAGAGCGTCAAGCGCGTCTCCTTAAATATCCTAGTACAGGCTTGCGATTCCGGTGAATTCTGAATCACTCTTGTCATGCTGATTGTACCGCTGATCTTCCTCCAATGATCCAGTAATGTTGTCGAGTGTATGAAAGGGTATTTTGGGTACCTCCATGAAGTGTTCTGAGATGTGCTTGTTCGATTATGCGGTTCGTGAGTTGCGATTGTTTCGGGAGAATGGCTGGGGGTTTTTTGTTTTCTGATATTGCCGCATTCATTAGTCGTCCACCGACTCTTGTGATTCCGTGTGCATCTATGTAGGCAGTGAGTCGATGGAACGCGTGTGATGAGGTTAGACCTGTTGTTTGCATCGCTCGCAATTCTTGGAAAGGTATGTTTTTTGAGTCAGCTGTATCCACTGTGTTCTAGCCTTATTTAATTCAGCGTGTGTAAGCTGGTTTGTTGAAGGGCGTTTTCCCTTTAGGCATGCGATGAATCTAATGCATCTTGCCGTTATTCTCAGTAGCTCAGTCAGAGTTGGGTAATCGTAAATAATATCCCAGTCGTAGTCTGAAATTTTGATTGTGGCGATTAACGAGATGCTTGGACGGGCTTCCTGGTGGCATTGGTCCTCTTTGTCAATTGGTTGCGTTGGCCACGAGTCTGGAGTTAGTGTCCATGGAGGGCCAGTCCACCATAGAGAGTGAGTTTTAAGTTGTTGGGTGGTGAGCCCTCTGGATGCGCAGTGATGCTGATTGTTAGAGTGACGTCACTAGAATCCAGCCTTGGAGAGTTCGTCGGCCCTTGTTAATCGGAATTGTAATGTAATTTCGACTATTTTGAGTAGTGAAGTTTCCTGATTTCGTAGAATTGTGTTTATGACTCCGGTCAGAGTTGGGTAATCGTAAATAATATCCCAGTCGTAGTCTGAAATTTTGATTGTGGCGATTAACGAGATGCTTGGACGGGCTTCCTGGTGGCATTGGTCCTCTTTGTCAATTGGTTGCGTTGGCCACGAGTCTGGAGTTAGTGTCCATGGAGGGCCAGTCCACCATAGAGAGTGAGTTTTAAGTTGTTGGGTGGTGAGCCCTCTGGATGCGCAGTGATGCTGATTGTTAGAGTGACGTCACTAGAATCCAGCCTTGGAGAGTTCGTCGGCCCTTGTTAATCGGAATTGTAATGTAATTTCGACTATTTTGAGTAGTGAAGTTTCCTGATTTCGTAGAATTGTGTTTATGACTCCGCGCGCAAATGTTTCTACCTAAGCACAGGTGTCTTTACCTCTCCCACTTTGTTTACCGCGTAAAATTGCTGCAATCGAAAAAATCGAAAAAAATCGAAAATTGCTGCGAAGAAAATTTTTTTTAAGAAATTATCAATTTTTTAAATTTAAAAATTTTATTTTCTGAAATATGTTTTAATAATTTTAAATTAATTAAATTAATTAGTATTTTTCATATTCAATTATAAATAAAAAATAATAAACTGTATTTTTCTCATACTAATTACTTTTTTTACAAATTCGCAACTATTGAAATAACAATAATAAAATTATTAATAAATTGAGCCATACGTAATATTACTATTCTATAAAATGGTGGTTTTGTCTGGCGGGTTTAAAAATATCTTTTTTAACTCACACACATTGTCTCATTTATTCTTCGTGTAAAAAGGTATTGTATAATTTATATTTAATTGAAGATTGTTCTCTAAAACAGATTTTAATTTTACATGTATTTTGTTTCATTTAGTAGAAGGAAATTATGAAATAAAATTTAAAATAGTTAAGCATCAATATTATTCTGGAAAATCATATAAAAGTAAAAAAAAATAATTCAGATTGTTAAATCTTATAATTAAATAAAAGTTATACCTAATTTTAAATATTGATAACAAGAAATAATGTCTATAGAATATATTTAAAATCATTAAATTATTTTGAATAAATGCCCATTTCAAGAAGTGACTAAATATCTTAAAGTAATTTAAAATGCTTTATCTGAGATAAGATGTATGTGTGATTGCATGAAAATACAAAAGGGTTTCATTGTAATTATTAAATACGAATAATGGTTATTCAATTTCACACCATATACCATTGTATAGCTAACAATTGATTTTATAATATCTTTAATATAAAAAAGGTTAGTTTTATTTTTCATTTTTTGGTAACAAGAAGAAATGTAATCATTTTATGCGTTTACTTGAATAATCTAAAAGATATAGCAAAACATCATGATGGATTTTGATTACATGTTCAATTCAATATTTATTCTAAAATGTTAAAATATAAATTTTAATTTCTAATTTTTGTTATTTTTTAATAAAACGTTTTTAATTTTATACTATTTAAAATATAAAAGTGATTAAAAAAATAATAGATAATAAAATATTTCATATTATTTTCTAAAGTTTTTTAATGTAAGCGTTAATAATTTTTAAAACATATTGCATAAAATTTTACCAATTTTAAATAATTATTTAACTATTCATAAGGTGCGATTAATTTTGACTCAGTAATTAATTAGCTTAACGTTTTCTCATGCATCACATATTTCTCAAATCATATATTTAGTAATATAGATGAAGTTTCTATCAAAGTAAAAAATTAATATCTAAAATATATGACAAGGTATGGATAATGAAAAATAATTTTTCAATTGTATAAATCAATAATATTGATTTTATAAATTATGTTATAATTGCTAATTTTCAAATTAATATAACTATTCAAATTATTTATAAAATTATTTTAAGTATGTAAAATCCTTTTAAGTAATAAATAAATACTGGATGCTAATATAATAGTTTAATTTCTAATTTCGTTGTTAGAGCATAATAAATCATTGAATAATAAATTAAAATTAATTGATATACTTTTATATCATTTATATCTGCATAATTTTTTCAGATATTAATGAATTTGAATAATTTCAATACCATTATGCATTAAAATTATTTAATACTTAAAGGCAGATTGTTAATTTATATATTTTATATATAATTTATTTTATAAATTATTCAAATCATTATTCAAACTTTTAATTTTGTAACACTTTCTACAAAATATATTATAATTAATGTACTAATTTTAGGTATTGTATTATCTGAAAGTAATTCAAATAATGAAAAAACTAATTTATTTAATAATTTGAACTTGTAATATTACAAAAGAATATATTAATTAGCGTTAAAAATTATATATTATATTATTATTTAAAAAAATAAAAATGCATATAATTATGAGTATTATTTTAATTATTGATAAAATAGAAATGTTGTAATCAATGATATATCATAAGAGATTTATTTTAAGATACAGTCAAATTCCAATTTATTTATTTTAATAATTTCAGTTTCTTAATATCACCTTTTATTTCATCCTACAGTAATTTATGTTGATCAAGAATTTGGTTTCATTACTGTTGAAAATTTTTAAGTAAACTTCATTTTATTATTGTCAATTAAGATACCTGAAAATAAATATTTTAAATGTTTTTTTAACAAATTACTTTCAATTATAAAAATTATTCTTAATGTTTTACATTTGCAGAATTTAGATATTTTTTATTTTTGTTTAATTTTAAAAAATTTATTATTTATTTTTACTTCAGAGTAAGCTTCTTAAATAATAATATATAAGAAGTTATATCCAATCATTGTATTCATACAGTTTACTGAAATTTTATAAACATTAGTATTGGAAATTTTATTATTGTCATATGAACATAAGAGAATCATAAAATCAAAAAAAGCAGTTGACTTTAAAAATTTTTATTTTAGTAATTAAACAATTTAAGAAATATCCATTTTATATTATATTATCATTCAAATATATATTAAAAATTATAGCTTTTCCTTTTCTGGAAAGGGTGGACTATATCCTTCTTTTTCTAAACGATTCTTGAAATTTAAATAATCTCGTTTTCTATCAAAATGTTTTACCTATATAAAATGTGTATTTTCATTTAGTACATTTAGTTCATTAAATTTTAATAATTTGAAAAACAGATATTATTACCCATTGGCTTGGACAAAATTTTTCATAATCTTTTCTACAATATTTACACAAATCATCAGATTTTTTCTCATCAAGACACTTCCAATATATGTCTCGATGGTTCCAACATGTTAATCGATCTTGTTTATTTGGAAAAGACATTCTAAAACATAGATTTATAAACAATAAATAATGATGTATTGTCTACTTTTTAAATTTATTTATACCTAATTTATGTAAAGAATATAATTCGTTGATAAGTAATATTTTGTAATAATTACAATATATTTATTGATAGATAATAACTTATCTTTTAACATTATTATATTAAAAACAAAACAAATAACGTTTATTAAACATGACTATCGGTTTTATAAAAATTTAATATAAGTTTAAAGTCAATGAAATATATTCACAAGACCCAACGTTTAATAAACTTTCTACTTAAATCTATACAAAATGAAAAATTTAAATATCAATTTTATAAAATGTAAAGAAAAAAAAACAAAATTTCAATGTTTTATTCAAAAAAGTTTTGTAAAACTTATGAAACTTATAATTTTCAAAACATTGATTAAATTGGTTATGATTTTAGATATTGATATTGGTTATAATTTATTTAAATTAAATTTATTTAAATTTTTTCAAAATAATAAATATTTAAGTTATTAAATTAGCTATTCAATATATTAATTTTAAAATTAATATAAAACTAAAGTGAATAATTAACTATAATAATATAAAGTTTTTAATAATTAATAAATGTCATTTAAATTTTCAAAAATTAAATGTCTTTCGTACTTCTGTCAAAATATTTATCATTTAAACAATGATTTGTAAAATAAATATCAAATAAAATATATATAATACTTATTTTATTAACATTATAATTTTACAATATATAATTGTAATAAAAAAATTAAGAAAAGTATTTTTTTAAATAAATAAGAAATGTGACAAATAAAATTAAACTATTAATTATTTTAAATTATAAAAATATTAATAAAAAAAAAAGGTTAGGTTTTCAAATTTTGTTAATATAATCATTAATGTATTAATATATAAATAATATATAAATATATGTTGCTTATGATAATGTAAGAACAATATTATAGTAATTAAATAGATAAATTTTTACTTCACTTATTTATTCACCTGTTAATTTAAGAATATTTTTTAAAATTTTTAATTTTAAATTTTTAATTAACCTGTTAATATAATAAAATATTTCATTATCAGCTAATATAAAATTAAATAAAATTACTGAAATGAATAAATAAATGACAAATGCAGTACTACAGGTTTAGGTGTTATTCAAAAATAAAATTACAAAACCACTTGTTTTTATAAATGTCTATTACTTCGAAAAATTAACATTAATTTCATTAAAAATTTATATAACAAAATTATTTTAAGCAATTTTGTATAAAATTTAAGCAAAATAGTTAACTTAAAACTATTTAAATTTAAATTATATTGAAACTTGTTCAATCAAACAGATATATTCAAAATAATATTTTATATAACGTAATAATTATTATTAATTACCTTTTTTTTTATTTTATTATTTTCTTGCTATAAAGTTTTTATGGACATAAAATAAAAATTTATTGAATAATTTTGCTATTCGATTAGGCTGAGCTTGGAAGAAAGAGATTGAACTTCGGAATGCACGAAACTGAACTATAGATAGACGATTAGGGACTCGAAAAATCCAATATGGTGTTCGTTGTTCAACAATTTAGATCGGATATTCGGATTTTCAAATAAATATGGAGATGAATTTTATTGTAGAAAATTCTCTTTAATTATGAAAAAAAGATTAAAATATAAGTTCTGGTAATGAAGACTACGAGGTCTTCTTCCCAGCTTAAATCAAAATTATTTTTAGTTGTTTTCATGTTTATATACATTTTTTAAACATTTTTATTTAACAAACAAAAAAATCATAATAATAAATTTGCTAAGAAATGAAATAGTATTTACTATATCGATTAAAGTATATATTTTGGCAATATAGAAACTCACCTTTAATGATAACATAGTTAAGCAAACTTATGAAAAACTATACAATGAGTGATAATATACAGCCAATTAATTCCGAGCCTATCATAAATAAGGTCAAAATCTTTCAAGAGAGTTCTGATATAGAAATGGTTGCAAAAGATATTAAGTCTCGTTTAATCCTACTTAATAACGAGAACAATGGTAAAAAACAGAATAATGGTAATCATAAAATAAACTGCACTTCTGAATTGTTAGAAAAAAGTTCCGGAAGTACTAGCATTGAACTCAAGTCTAAAAATATTAATTATATTAATCAATCAGGTAAGATTGGTAAATGAAAGAAAAAATTAATGAAAAATACCTAGATTATTATTATTAAAAGAATATTTAAAAAAGTAAAAATAAATTTATTTCATATTTTTTTTAGATAAGGGAGAAGGAACTTCATATATGAATAAGAATTGCAATATTAATTACATTAGTTATACAAGTGAATTACAAATGCCAAATATTATGAAATTAATTCAGAAAGATTTAAGTGAACCTTATTCTATATATACTTATAGATATTTTATTCACAATTGGCCAAAGTTATGTTTTTTGGTAAGAATAAATTTTTATTTAAACCTTTAATCATTTTCTTAAATACAAATTAAAGTTATTCTGCAATATAAAAACCTTTATAAATTGGAGATTTAAAGTAATTATATATAACTATAAATTGTAAAAAATATTTTATTAAAGTTAATTTTTAGTTATTTTAAATCTTAACATTTTCAATAAGCAAATTATTTATAATATTGATTTCCTAGAAAATAATGCTAATGAATTAAATATTAATTACAATAAAATATTTATTTGATATTCCACAAAAATATATTAAAATAATTATTTAAATATTGTATAATAATAATAATATTATAATAAATATTAAAATACAGTTATTTATTTCACTGTATACAATATTTTTTTAATTACAATTATGAACTAAAAAATTGGACTAATTTTTACTGCCTAGGCAATGGATGAAAAGGAATGCATTGGTGCTATAGTTTGCAAGCTTGATATCCACAGAAAAGTTACAAAAAGAGGTTATATAGCAATGCTTGCTGTTGATATAAAATACAGAAAACGTAAAATTGGGTCTAATCTTGTGAGACGTGCAATTCAGGCAATGATTGAAAATGATGCCGATGAGGTGGTACTTGAAACTGAGATTACTAATCATCCAGCTCTACGTCTTTATGAAAATCTTGGGTTTGTTCGTGATAAGCGATTATTTAGATACTATCTGAATGGTGTTGATGCTCTGCGATTGAAACTCTGGCTTAGATGAAATTCAATTGTATAATTATAGTAAGGATATAAATTACAGTTATTTTAATATAAAACCACAGCAAAGTATTATTTTTATTAAATTTTATTCAACTGTCATATTTTTTGACATTATGAATTTGATTAGTTTTCATTGCAATGTAAATTTAGCAAATGAAAATTTAATATTTAATTGTTCTTTTTATATTAATTTTTAGTTTCATATAACGTATACATAAATATATTGAAATAGTATTATTTTTATTTAATAGAAATCACGAAGCACAAATAGCTTTTAATAAACCTTAATATGATAAGGATATTTTATATTTGTTATTCCATATAAGTACAAAATATATTAATCCTTTGTGTTAACACTAATATTTATATTTATTTAAATACTTTGTAAACTTTTAGATTGAATTCATGAGCATTTACTAATTGATAAGCTGAGACTTGTATATATACTTCAAATCATATACTAACTGTTTTCAATATCAAAAAAACTATATAGGATTGAGATATTCTCTGTCAAATAATATTTGCTCGCCCAATGATCTAAAAAGTCAGTGAAACTGAATACTGAAACTGTGTGCTTAATGTAAATAAAATCTTTCGTCTACAAAACCAATTTCGTCGTTGTTATTATTTTATAACATCAAATTAATTATTCTTTTTCTATTAGTTCCCATCAAATGTTTTAAGAATGAATATAATGTTCATTTTGTAATTTTAAATAATTATCAATTTGTACAAAATGTATTCGCCGTTCCGGCTTGTTTTACGAAGACCGGTTCGAAGGATACAAGTTGATGTCGTTGACAACTCCGAGACCACGGATGTTGTGTAATAGCGATGAAAGGTCACAAGTGGAAAGTATATTATAATAATTCAATATAAATATGGCTGGTGTATATGATGTTTACTCTATTATTTATCCGATTACAGGGCTTGAGTAGTATTACTATTATTAATTATTAAAATAATCTCTTGTGGTGGCAAACGTACAATCATCTATGCAGCGTGATGGTTTGAATATGAGCGCAGAATGGCACGAAGTTTGATTCTTCGACACTCGCGCTGTTTGTGTGAGCACGTGCGTAGTTGAGGTTATGGTTGTAATGTAGCGCGACACATGTAACCGTTGTGAGTTGAAAATATACTCGGATCGTGGCAAGCGTATCTTATTTCTGATATTGGCGTAGTGCAATGCAGATGGAACTAAGAATTTGAAGGGCTTTTACCTCGTGAAGGATACTGCTACGTGTTGCGTCTCCTATGAGCGTTGAATGGCACGCTGTGTAGATTCATAAGCGTCAAACTTTGAACTAAAGTGAAGGTAAGGCTGGCAAGACTCGCATCGGCTGACGCGACCTTGACGACGAGTTTGGACATATTCCGTACTGTCTCTCTGGTGAGAGCCTCTTCGTCTTTGGTTGCTTGTCGATGACGTAAACTCTGAATCTTAGATTTTAGTTGATTATTGTAGTAATGATACTACTAATGAAGACTAATAGCAGACTTAGTAGAGGAACTTTCCGTTCCTTCTTCAAGAGGACTGCCACTGGATACTTGTCTTCGGACTCTGCTAAGGGAATATGTCTTGTGTCCTTTAAAACTTGTAACGACCTTTATCTTGAACTACGTTATGGTCGGATCTCCACTTCTTAATCAAATTAGTACCGCATCTAGAGTAATGAAATCTCGTAGTTGTCTCTCTTAAATACATTACTGACAATTGGTTTCACTTGGGATCCCTTCCCCGTCTTTGTGTCCAATTAGAGCGTGGTTTTGAGCTGCATGAGAGCATACACGCCCTTTACCCCACTTCCGAAGAATTTAGGCTTTGGCGATGATAACACCGAAAAAGTGTCTTCGGAAGCAGCGCTTACAATTGGTAGGCTCGCCCCTCTCTTGGACTTAGCGACGTGGGGGGTTCTTCGTCAAGCGTTGTTGCTTGGCTCGTGCGAGAGGCGAATTTCGGCGTACTTGACAATAGTGCAAGCATTGTCTCTTGACCTCGATGTGGGCACGTACCGATGATTGCCCGTTGTCGCAGGTAGAGGGTATTGGATTGCAATGAAAATTTTGGAAATAATTTGTACTCGATAGTTTACGTGCATCTAACAATCTTTCACAATTGCCGCTTTCTTGGCAGAAAACAACAGGATTGTTTTAACCGCAGCGGAGAATCATGAGCGCGTTTGATATGCGAGAGTAGGTGAAATAACTATTTACGAGTGTTTTCCAGATGTACTGACCTTCTCGAGTATCTAACGACCCAGGATATTTTGTGACAAGAAAAACGTTCTCGCAATCTCAAACAAAATTAAAATTTAAAATATTTCTAAAATATTTTAAATAATCATAAATATTAAATATTAACTATCTTAAATTAAAATAAATTTACATTAGATAATTTCTAGTTTAAATTAATAAATAATATTCACAATAAAATTTCACAATTAAAAGATAAAGAACTGGAACCGTTGATTTCGTGAGAACCTTGTAAAAATAATTTCTTGATGACCTTGTCTGCTCCTAGGAAAATCGGCGGTAGGCTGCGATGAATCCGTCTGTTGTGTAGTTACTGACTACTTCTAGATGTACTGCAAATGTGGCAAAACATACAATAACACAAATCCATGCTTTGTGTGTTTTTGCTCCTCTTCCCTTCCAGGTTTTTATTGATAGTGGGTCGGCATAGTCGACTTCAGTATGTTCTCGAACATAATTCACGCAAGTATTTCGTCAATATAAGCTAGTATCTTTGTATATAAAAGAATGTTTATATTTTTATGATCTATATTTTAATTTTTATTCATTCTTTTTCTTTTTTTGAAGCTGTTACAGTGTACTAAAAGCTTAGTATAAATATTTATACTTAGTAATAGTAAATTAATAACGAAACTTAGTAATGTAATTAATGTTTATAATTCAATAATTCTTTTATCATAGTTTAAACGTTAAAGATCAATAACCTTCGAATTTACGTGTAAAAAAATACACACTGCGTTTACTCAAATTCCATCGACTCATAAAACACTGAGCTGATTATCATTGGATTTGTATTACTTTTGAATGTGCTCATTTCATTTCTTATTTTTGTAATTTCATCGTAACTTTTTCATTCATCCATATTTTTATTCCATTCTTGTAATTTAGTGCACGTACTTTACATGGCAAAACATCTCGCTATATTAAAATAAAAATCATCTTATATATTTTATTTATATATATCTCAGTATGTTATACTATATATCAATTTTCATGACTAAATTTGTATTTTTAATTTCCTTAGAAATAACAATACGTTGATAACATAAAACTATTTCAATTGTAGGTTTCCTAAACACAATGTTATATGAAGAAAAGAAAAAGGTTTGGAATAAGTTGACATAAAGTAAAAAGTAATAAGAGCACACAGAAAATGAATAGGAAAATATAAAAAACAAAGTCAGAAAATTGAGAGTGACAATAATACTGAAAATATTAAAAGAACAGAGTTGCAAATAAAGAGACTTGTGACAGTTAAAAGAAATAGAGATTAGAACAAGAAAAAAATTAAAATAACAGCGTTAATCAAGTATATTTAATGTAAAAACGAGAGAAATAGAACGAGAAAGAAAATCAACACCACAGTTGCATTAAAAATGAAAAAATGTAAAATATAAACGTGTAATTAATGTATAACGATATGTAATATTGATTTATATTTATTTCTCATTTTACTTTTTTAACTGAAAAGAATTTAAGTAAATTAATAAAAATGGAACATTGACTTTGAACAACTACTTGTAGCCTAAAATAAGTATTATTGATGTAAAATAGGTATTACAGTTATGAATAAATTAATGTTTTCAAATTTGAAAATTTACATTAAATAAACATATATTGAAAAATCAAAAAAATTTGATGAAACCACTAATTTTCACTAGCAAAGTATTTACATTTGAGCCAAGTTATTTAAAAAAATTATAATTCCTGATATATTTTATGCATCCCATTCATTTTAACAAGGAATTTAAAATTCATAATATTAAAAAATAATTTTTCATATTCATATAATTATTTAGTATTTAAATGTGTACATGTACAATTTCTACTAGTCATTACCTTTCAATAGCCTTAAAATAATTGGTACAGGTTAAAATTTTTTTCAATATTCTCTTTTTGATATCTGATTGTTATTGATATAAAAATAATGTATTTTACATATATGTATTGTTTACATAAAATAACCATGTATTTTCGGTTGTATTTTATATATTGAAAAAAAATTTTATTATATTTCATTATTTAAAATATTTTTAATGCCCTGTGTATATATATTATATTAAATTTAAAAATATAAAAATAATGTTTATAAAAATTTTAATATTTGAAAACAATATAGGTAGATAATATAATAATATAATATAAAAATTTTCATAGTATTTGAATTTTTATTAAATCATCCTAAGTAGTTTATCATTATTACTAGCCAATTAATGTGTATCATTGTATATATCAAGTATATGGTTAAAAAGTAGATATTCTACTATCAATGATCATCAATTTTATTTCATAATAAAAAATTATTTGAATTGTGATATTAATGGGATTTTAATTCATCAGTTTAGTTATTTAATTATATCGGAGTTTTCAATAATAACTAAAAACAAAATGTTCTATGTAAATAATTGAATAGGTCTATATAATTTAAATTAGGATTATGTGTAGTTATACGAAATAATGCATTAATAATAAAATATAATTAGTTCTTACGAGAACGGTAGCCAGGATTAAAAATGAAATCTATCACAAGATACGTTACAATCTGTCTGAGATCAGACTAAAACGCTTCCCTGAGATGGTGAAGGGAGGCTTGCTGGCAAGTGGAATGGACAATGCAATAATTCAATACTGCCTTTGTATGAGTTGGTTTTCTCTTTATTGAATATAATGATATAATAAATAATCAGTGGTCTATTGAGGTGTGTATCTTATAAGTGTATTCTTGAGTATGGTGCGTGATTAACGCCACCGATTGCCGCTACCGATGAGCTGGAGAGACCTGAGTGATGACGTTGGTGTGT